TATGAATACCACACAAATGTTTTAAAATGTTTATAGTAGCTAGTTTAAAATATCTAGGTATTTACTCTGTCTCCCTACTAGGAAGAGTTGTGATACAAGGTCAGCTTTTAAGGTGGGGACCCGTGCTGGTACACCCGGGCTAGGAACAAAAATTGCCCGAAGCTGGCCTCGGTGCGAGCAACGATCCCTCTTTCTGGTGCAATGAGAGGGCGCGGCCTCGGGCAGCTGTTCCACAGGGCTGGGCGGGTCTCAGTATAATTTTTCTCAGTTGCGACTCTGACGGGGCCGCCGCCGAGCACATTCTGCCCAAAGACAGAGAGGAAACTGAGAGATGATAAATAATGTGTTACAAACCCCTCGAGAGAACGGTTTACATATCTAGGTTTTAACTGATACCTTTAAATAGTTAAATAAATATATATATATATATATATATATATATATATATATATATATATATATATATATATACAGTTAGACATCTCAATAACTTAGTTACCTCCCTTGACGTGTATGTTTACATTATAAAATTTAAAATCATATATTACATAAGTTTAGCTTTATTTCACGATCAGCTTTAAAAAAGGACTCGTAACTGGAAAAACCGAATGAAAAAAGAATGTTAGCAACAAATACTTTTTCACACCCAACCCAGTTCTACGGAATCAGAATCAACGTTGAGTTTAAGCAATCGAATGAGCCAATTGGAGTAAAGTGCCATGCAGATTTAAATTTTTCCCACTTGTGACGAATGCAGCTATCGATTTTTTTTTGCATGCTAGCATGCTAATTAACATTCGTGTCAGTCAGCTGTTGGCTCTCACGCTGGCCAATAGAATCTTCCTGCCTATTCGTGGCAGCCAGTTATAGGCTCTCACTCTGGCCAGTAGAAAAGTAGGTTATGCGTTGTTTTCCGCTATCTAGCTTGCCTTCAATCTACCATGTGAGTACCAAAATCTCCAAGCACTCTTTCCTCATTATGCGCACTAGAAATTTTCATTTCCTGATTCTAAGTATAGGTGTCCTTTTTGTTTCCATTTTATCTAGAACTTTGTCGTTGCTCTCTTATTCGATCCATGGGTGAAATTCAATAAAAAATTCAAGCAGCTAAGAAAATAAATTTTATTCCTTAATAATCTAGGATTTTTGTTTTTCATGATTAGCTGACTGCCATATCACATTGAAACACCGGTTCACGTACGATCACTGAAGTTAAGCAACACTTGTCAGTATTGAGATGGGTGACTGCTTAGGAATACCAGGTGCTTGGATGTACAGGTGGTGTGTTAGATAATGGCTCGGAATTGTTAATCGGATATCCGAGTTCTAATTCCCGTTCGGTTCGTTGTAGTTACTTAATACGCAGATACACTTGGGAAAGGTATGGCGCCATCTCTTCTCCAGCCACAAGCTTTGGGTAAATTAGTATGACTTGTATCACTAAAATCATTATTATTCTCCTGAAAAAAATTTTACGCTCTAAAAATATTTTCTGGCTTTAAATAACCTGAAAGGGTTGGTAAGTCATAAAAAAACCCCAAAAAAAACAAACCAAAATCTAATGAATTAATCCCCAATTTTTCAGGACTGCACAATGTTTTACAGGGTAAAGAGAATTAAAAAAAAAAAAAAAAAGCAACTGTCTATTTTAATAAAAAATTGGTTTCTGGTGTCTGTTATTGGGGTTGCAGGTCAGTGCTGCTTTTCCTATTATTGTTTTCTATACAATTTATCAAAAGTACCAATTTGCGTTGAAGAATATAATTGTCTGGTCACAAAATACTTCTACTTTCAAAGACTTTTGATAATCTCGAAGGTCGAATTTGACCCTATTCGTTCCACTAGTAAAGTCAAAAGAAACATTTTTTTATTTTATAGCAGCTAGAGTAACTCATTAAGTTTTTAGTAGAAATTACTTCATTTGGCTAGAAATTATATTCTGTACTATTTAATAACCGCTTTGAATGACCCTTGAGGACAAGTAAATGTTTTTGAAGTCTTCATGCTCTAAAGGTATATCAGTGGGTCTAGCTCTTTGAGCCTGATCGTGGCACGGACACACACGCACGTGCGCAAACATCTCTATCTATAAAAGGCAGGATGTGTGTGTGTGTGTGTAACGAATGCATGGCCGCAGTTTTCGACGTATTTGCACCAAAATTTACATGCATATGTTCCAAGTTAGCGGAAAGGCCAAGACAGACTTTGCATTTCCAAACTCCCATCGATAGTGGAAATAATCGATTTTTTCATGCTTCTACTGCACTTTTCATGTAGTTTGCGGCCATTTTCTACTGGCCAGAGTGAGAGCCTATAACTGGCTGCCACGAATAGGCAGGGAGATTCTATTGGCCAGCGTGAGAGCCAGCGAATGTTAACTAGCATTCTAGCATGCAAAAGAAAAAATCGAAAGCTGCATTCGTCACAAGTGGGAAAAATTTAAATCTGCATGGCACTTTACTCCAATTGGCTTATTCGCTTGCTTAAACTCAACGTTGATTCTGATTCCGCAGAACTGGGTTGGACGTGAAAAGGTATATATTGTTAACATTATTTTTTCATTTGGTCTTTCCAGTTACGAGTCCTTTTTTTTAAAGCTGATCGTTTTGTGTTCATTTTGCTTCGTTCTTTTTTCGTAACAGATTTAATGTTTATTATAGAGCTTAGAAAAAATTCGCAGTGTGAGAATGGCAAGAAGTAAGATATGTAGCAACATCAGCACGGCAAAGGGCACTCCTTTAAAAGCAAGGAAGGGCAAAAATATTTTAAGTCAAGTGATAGCGATTGCTGTATGAGTCGTACGATTTTTGAATCAAGCAAGCGCAACGCCGGGCCATGCTGCTAGTAAACACTAAAGCCTTCAATATTTAAGTTAGAAGGTGAAAAAAATTACTGTGCCCGACATTATGCCGAGACTAACCTTTATTTCCGGAGCAGTTTATCTTTTGAACGAAGATCCGCATCTAGTGCACATCGACCTATGTTTTTTTTTCAAGGTTTTATCTTTAAGTATACTAGAATGTTTTCTTCAAACATATAGTTTTCGCTCTCTTCTTTGAAGTCATCCCCTTGGGCTTCAATACAATGGCTAACGAATGGGGCTTGTCGTAAAAGGTAGTGGAAAATGTCCGTACTACATTCAGTTGTACATTTCCCCGGATTTTTGAATAGTACCTCTTAGACATTAGATAACGATTGGCATTGCATTTAAATTTTTGAAGATCAAAGTTAACTGGAAAGCATGTGGCCGGAGGTGTCCCACAAGCGAGAAGTGCTACTAAGGAAACTGTTAGCATATAACTTACGTTTACATCTAGCCAGCCAACTGTACGTTGATGAGATCTCGACGCCAGTCGAGTATTGTGCTTATATTCATGCAGTCTAGGTATCGTTACGAAGAGCTCATCCGAACAATTACCATGAAAGTATTTATAGAAAAGACACTGGGAAGCAACTTTACGGCGGTGGGAAAGCGACTGAAGCCGAGATGTCAGGTCAGGACTGATAATATTGCTGATTCTACTTTGGATCTTATCAAGGAGCTCAATATAAATGGCAGGGGCACCGGACTCTATGTGGCAGCAATATTCTAAACATGGCCGAATGGTAGACTTATAGATGTGTAAGATAGATTCTGAAGAGAAAAAATGTCTGGTACGATACAGTGAACCTATTTTCTCAGCAGCTGATTCAATATAGTCTTTCCATTTCATGCCAACCGAGAAAGTTAGCCTGAAAAGGCACAACATGTAACTCTCCTTAAGGTTAGCATCAGCTATATTAATGGAAGGCAGTGAGGCGTCTCTTAGATGATTAATATAGAGAGGTTTTATTTTGGAGGCAAAATTAACAAGCCTTTCTTTGTCCCTCTTACCAACAGATTGTAGGTCATTTTGAGATTAGCTGCCAATTTTACCTTATCGAAGTGATCAGACTTAGTATCGAGACAGGAGTAATTAGTTGTGTCGGATTTCTTGACTAAAACTGCCCAATCCTCACTTTAAAGCCTTGAGTCCAAAGGTTTTTACGCGGCCTTGTGGGTGATGAATTATTTTCAGTCTTACGACTCTTTCCCCACGGAGAAACATTGCTAGCCTCTTGCTACCCTATCGCTATTTTCATGGTAAATGATGAGACTAGCTACATTTCTTAGTTCGGCCAGTTCAGACCTTCACAGCCAGGCTCCGCCATGCCAGGGACACAGAGTCGACTCATCCACATTCCCTTCGTATTCCATTTGTAAGGAGAAAATTGCACTCAGACAGATTCTTTTCCGGAACTGTTACATTGTGGAACAGACTCCCCAAAAGATGCTTTACCGAACACTACGATTTTAATTTCTTCAAGTCTAGGGTAAACCTTTATCTATCTTACATAGTCTTCATCATATACGCTTCATACTTGCTCCCTTTACGCACTTACAGAAACCTCCTAGAATAACGCTGTATCTTGAGTGGCTCTTTGGTGTTGTATTAAGTAAAAAAAAGAATGTCTTAGTTTTGGCACATGACCACATTTATACATCATTTCGAGTTCTTCGAGGTAAGACATTCGCTGTCTGAGGAGAATTTGGTATCATACATGTTGCTATCCATTGAAAAGGAATCGTTGGATGAATCAGATGCACAAACAATTTTTAGAAAATTCGAACAATCATCTAGTGACCCCAAATGTTTATTCTTAATATACCGGGCTACATGCAATGTTCTATTATGCTTTTGAACTATCTCTTAATGTGAGGTTTGTGTAGTAAAGCATTTTAAGAATATCAACCGATTAATTAAAATTAAAAACTTAATTATAATATTCTCAATTTACATTTACTAATTACCACCAGTAAAATGTTCAGTACATGTAGATTGTAATTACCAAGAAATACACATTTTTTCCACAAAAATCTTAATTATACACTTTTTCATTTGCATATTTTTAAATTTCATTTATTCGTTCACTAACAAAAAAAAATACATAGACTATGATCGTATTCGTACGTATGGTGTGTGTAAAATCCTATTGACGATATTGGAGAAGAATTACTCTTTGATTTGATAGAATTATCAACTTCGGGAATTTGTATGCTGGATAGCGTACAGTGCGACACGTGGTTCACTAGAGGCTAAGAAGTGCCGCATAGGGGAAACGAGACACGTCTTCTCCCTACGGCATCCTATGAGTAGAGAGAGAGAGAGAGAGATGGGGAGAGAGAGAGTTTGTGTCGTTTTCTTTTATATTGTCTTTTGTATTGCCAGCTAAAGGACTTTAAGAGAAGTTCAGTGGCTGGCAAGTGAGATAATTCCGCAGGTTGAATACACAGTAGGAAATCGGGAGATGTTTTCGGCAATCGGTGTTGGCTTCTAGGAAAACAAAAGTTTCCAACATTGACATACGCTCTCCGTTCAGGTTACTGATACCAAAAAAATGTGCCTACTCATTAGCAACCGGTACATTCAAGCTCTTGTAAAATCTGTGATACTTACGTCATATATTTATCTGATTATTTTCGCTTATCATTGTCTCTCACCATCCCTCGGCATTTTTTTCCTATTAAATCCTACTATACTTACCTATATATAAAAAACAACAACAAACAAACAAAAAACGAATAAAACACTTTTCTTATTTTAATTCCCATTGCTGTTCAGGAATTTCCGATTAAGTTGACTACAAATATAATTTCCCGCTTTTCTCGTCGTCCGACTCCTATTCATGCATCCACCCACCTAAACAACATACGCAACAAGGAAGACCCCCCACCCGAATTTTACCACGATTCACTCGTATTAACCAATCATCTAGACCTTATAAACTTTCTCACACGACCACCATCATTACCTACCCAGTTCCGGAGACGCCCTCTATCGGCAATATTTGTTACGACTTTAAAGTTATTTTTATTTTGAGACGAACATAATGCCTTTGTTCTTTCTGGAAAAGCTTCAGTTGGATTAATTAGCGAGCGGAGTGTGTATTGTAATTAACTTTATGCTTCTTGAAACTTTCTGTTTGATGGATGCGTGTTATTTTTGTCTTTTTCTAGAGATTTTGTTTCAAGTTCTCTGTTTCATTGTGTCTTCTTTTGTTTGGATCTGCTTCTTGAGACAATTGGATTGAATAACTAGGGCATTCAAATGCAAGCAACAAAGGACAACAAACAAAATTCGAGGAATGGTTGCTCGTAGACTAGAGTGCTCAGTCGGTCCTATCATTTGGCGCGTAGTTCCAGGGAGGAGATGGATTCATGCCTTTGCTAATAACGTTCGTGCGAAA